TATATATGTTGAAAATTCTCTGAAAATTATGCATGTAATGGAGACTTGTCGAAATAATACGAAAATTTTGCTATCAATATTTCTTCCTTGATTTTCTAGAAAATATACTCTCAGATGGAAATAACCTAAAACATATTTATTCTGTGTTTTACAGTAAATTACTTGTAAATATCTGATGTATATGTGGTCTTTAGTATGAAAAAAATTGAGTTGACATATATTTTTGTGTATGCCCATGTCTCTGACCTTAACATGCTGTCTCCTAATTAAAAATGTGAATTGAAGTGTACTTTTCACTTCCATGTAGGGTCTTTGTGTAGTACTTTTTTATTTTGTTTTTACAATTTGGCGGAATAGACCATTATAAAGTAAAGTTTGGTAATTGCTTTTTATTGTTGGGATTTCCCACTAACTTTGATTTGAACTTTGTTGGTGTATATCCTCCATAGTCTGTGTAACAAGATAATTTTGTGTTTGATTTTATTTTATATTTGGTGGAGAGAGAGACTTGTGAATGTGTTTTTGAGACAGGTCAGTTGTTTTCACACAATGCATATGTTAGCAATATTGGGTTTTTCATATTTTGCAAAACACCTGCATGTATCCCAACATGATTGTATATTACATTAAGTACATAATTTTGAATAGTTGCTTTTTTGTTGGAGTTAATATTATGGCTTACATTAAAATTTTGTTTTCATTCCGTGAACATTTTACTATTCATGCCTATGTTATGATGACTTAGTTTTTTTGGTAATGTTTCCAACACCTTTATCTAAAAATAAACCATACTGCTGTGAGTGTCTGATTGCCACAGGTCAGGAAGAACATAACTTGTCTGCAAATGTGCTGTGAATTTTAGTAATAAATCTCCCCAAATGGTATAAATGATGGAAAGATTTAAGGAATTTTTGTTCACAATGAAGTTGTTTTAGGAAGAATATTGACTAATGAAGCAAATGCCTTTATTCTAATCCTTGATGCTGGGATTGACATTCTCTTTCCTAATCAATATTGCTTTAACTAAGAAGATGAAATATGGCCATGAAGGAAAACAAATGTTCAGTTTAATAAAAAGGAAATTTACGACTTTCTGATTCAGAGTGTGTTTTACAATTTTAGAGATAAATGTTTGCAATGTCTTTATTATCTATAAGGAACACTGTCTGATATTTGAGATATGTGCAAGCATGTTCAAATACCTAGGCTTATGCGAACTACAACTATGAGACCCAGTTGGTTGCCTTTTCTGGATTTTGCCTTTTTAATAATGATATATTTTTTGAAATATTTTATACAGTGTTTTTGAATACAAATGGTGCTCAATTTCTGATGGGGTCCCATTGTGATATAAACTTATGGAAACATGAAAGTATAATTGAGCAATGAATACCCATAGTGCTGTGAACATTATAAAGATTGCTCTAGCCTTTATCATGCTTAGACACATAAATTACTCATCAGTTTAGTAGTATGTGAAATTATGTCTACTTTATATCTGAAATATCTGATGTAATTCATGGAATGTAATTCACTGCAGAATACAGTGTCAATTTTTTACCCCATGGAACATGTGGCTGACTACCCTGTGGCTCACTTCCTCTTTTTAGCATCCAGTGTATATCACTATTCCAGCCAGTCATGGGATTTTCAGAATACAGGACATTTTACCCTGAGGATGTTTACTTTTCCATCTTTTAAATTCCTGGTGATGCAGGCCTGTAATCCCTCCAAGTCAGGAGGAAGACTTGGGAGGCAAATAAAAGGGAGGCAGCACCAGCAACTCAGTGAGACCCTGTCTCAATAGAGATGAAAGTTCTGGAGATCTGGTCACTGCTTTGGTTCTCCTAGGTTCACTCCACAGTATCAAATTTATTTTAATGTAAATCATTGCACGTAAGCGTTTGACTTTTAGTCACCTAACATATAAAAGTCTAAGCCAGATGTGATGGTGCATTCCTCCAGTCCCAGCATCAGGAGAAGCTAAGACAAGATGATCTTGGTTTTGAAGTCAGTGGGGGGCATCTTGGGTTGCTGTTTTAGCAAACTATGTAAGAGCTCTCTTTATATCTGCATGTTAAGTTTCAAGAAAGAAATAAGTTCAAGTTAAAACATAAACCTGTGTTAGGACATAAAAAATAGCTATGGCAAATCATGATTTTGTTCCTCAGGCAATACTATTTTCATGGTACATATTTGTAGAGCAAACATAAACCATCATAGATTTAAACATAAATAATGAAATATGAGTTAGTCAGGCATTCCATGTTCTCAACATAAAGACATGAACATTAGTTTGGTCAGTACTTGTACTGGGAAAAGAATTTCACCAGGTACTCTTCAGAGGACTAATACCTGGAATATATAAAGAACTCTAAAAATTATGCACCCCAAATAAAAGACCGAATTGAAAAACCTGGCAAAGGAAATGAGTGCACATTTCTCAGAAAATTTTCAGTATTTGTGGCCATTAGAGAAATACAAATTTAAATATCTTATCACAAAAACAACATCCATCATGGAGAACTCAAAAAAGTCATGAGGCTGCAAGGGAAAAGGGAAATATTCAGCATCCTTGATGGGAATGTAAACTAGTTCACTGTGGAAGTCAGTGTAGAGAATATTCAAAAAACTGAAAAATTACAATCCTAGTCAATGTACCTGTTCATCTTGTGGTTATGTGACTAAAATTCCCAAAGAGGTAAAGACATCATAATTCAGTGATACATGCATATTCATTTTTGTTTTTTGGGTTTTTTTGGTACCAGGGATCGAACTCGGGTCCTTGCGTTTGCAAGGCAGGAGGTGGAACCACTAAGCTAAATCCCCGGCCACACTCTTGTTCTGGGTAGCAGCAGTGAGCCCTGCTCTGTCTGCCACAAAATGGCAATTGTAACACAAAATATTCTGCTTAATGTGGTGATGCAGGATAATTCCAGTACTCAGGAGACTGAGGCAATAGGATAGCCATGAGTTCAAGACCAGCTCAAATTACTCACCAAATCTCTATCTCAATGCAGAAAACTTAAAACACCCTTAAGGCTTCTTCAGTGTATTCTCTTTGATATGTTAATAAATTATAGGTGATATTATATATTTTGTTAGGAAACAGGTTCTATGCCAGATTATTTTTCTAGATTACCAGT